GTTCATTAGTGAGATTGGCCTATAGTTGTCTTTTTTGGTTGGGTCTTTCTCTGCTTTGGGGATCAAGGTGATGCTTGCTTCCAGGAATGAATTTGAGAGTATTGCTTCCCTTCAACTTCATTAAAGAGTTTGAGAATTATCATCATAAGGTCTTCTCTAAATTTCTTGTAGAATCTGTTAGAACCTGGGCTTTTCTTTGTTGGTAGGTTTTTAATTACATCTTCAATTTCATCAACTGATACTGGTTTATTTAGAATTTTTCTATCTTTTTTATTCAACTTTGGTAATTTGTATGTACTGGGGAATCTGTCCATTTCTTTTGTGTTTTCCAGCCTATTAGAACACAGGTTCTTGAAGCAGGTATTGATGATGATCTGGATTTCTGCAAGATCTGTTGTGATTTCACCCTTTTCATTGCTAACTGTATGGATCTGAGTCTTTTCTTTCCTTTTTTTTTTGGATAAGGTTGGCTAAGGGTTTATCAATTTTATTTAATCTTTTAAAGAACCAAATCTTTGATTCACTAATTCTTTGTATTGTTTTCTTAGTCTCCATTGCATTAATTTCTGTTCTGATCCTTATAATTTCCTCCCTCATACAAGCTTTGGGTTTGACTTGCTCTTCTTTTTCTAAAAGCTTGAGGTTTAACATTAGGCTATTTGAGGTCACTTTATTTTTCTGATAAGGGAATTTACTGCTATAAATTTCCCTCATAGGATTGTTTTCATTGCATTCTGTAAGTTCGTGTATGTTGTACTGGCATTATCATTTAATTGTAGAAACTGTCTAATTTCTTCTTTAATTTCATCTGTGACCCATTGCTTGTTCAGGAGGGTGTTATTTAATTTCCATGGTTTGTGTGGTTTTGCCACTGATTTCCAATTTCAATGCACTACAGTCCAATAATATGCACTGGATAATTTCAATTCCTTTGCATTTACTTAAGTATGTTCTATGAGTTAATATGTGGTCTATGTAGAGAACTTCCCATGTGCGGCTAAGAATAATGTGTATTCTGGTGTTGTGGGGTGAAACACTGTATGTATCTACTAAGTCCATTTGTGAAAAAGTTTGGTTCATTCTGATATTTCATTGTTGATTTTTTGTCTAGTTGATCTGTCTATTTGTGCCAGTGGAGTATTAAGGTCCCCCATTACAATTGTATTAGTGCTTATTTGATTTTTCATGTCTGTTAATATTTGTCTTATATAATTGGGTGTGCTAGTATTTGGTGCATATATATTTGTGATTGTTATCTCTTCCTCTTGTATTGTTACCTTTACAAGGATGTAGTAACCTTCTTTGTCTCTCTTAATCAGTCTTGGCTTGAAATCCACTTTGTCTGCAAATAGAATATAGCTACCCCTGCTTTTTTCCAGGTTCCTGTTGCATGAAAAATTGTTTTCCATCTTTTGGCTTTCAAATAATTTTTTTGAATTAAATGTATTTCTTATATGTAACATATTGTCAGATCTTTCTTCTTGATCCATTCTGCCTGTCTGTTTCTTTTGATTGGTGAATTGAGACCATTAAAATTGATGGTTATAACTGATATTTACTGACTTTTCCTTGTCATGTTATTTTCCTGTTGTTGGTTCCCTTTTTTCCTGTTTAATTGCTATCCTTGCCTGGTGGAGTCATTCTGTTCATGGAGTTTTAGTCCTTGTTATCTCTTTCTAGAATGTCCTTCAGAACATTTTTGAGTGCTGGTTTGGTGGTTATGAATTTCCTCAGGTGTTCTTTATCACGGAAATATCTTATTTCTCCCATCAATTTTGAAAGATAGTTTTGTGGGGTATATCAATCTGGGATGGAGTTTGTTTTCTTTTAGGGCTTCAAATACTTTACTCTAAGCTCTTCTCTTTTTTGGTACCAGGGATCGAACTTGGGACCTTGTGCTTGCGAGGCAGGTGGTAGAACCACTGAGCTAAATCCCCAGCCCACTCCAGCTCTTCTTGACTTGAAGGTTTGTGTTGAGAAGTCTGCTGTGATTCTGATGGGGTTTCCTTTATAGGTGATTTGTTTCTTTTCTCTAACAGTTTTTAATATTCAGTACTTGTGTTGAATTTCTTAAGTCTTCACTATTATTATATGTCTTGGTGTAGATATTTAATTTTTGAATCATCACTAATTGGAGCTCTATATGCCTTACTTATCTGTATGTCAAATTCTTTTTCTCTGCTTGGTAAGTTTTCTCCCACTACTTCTGTGAACAGGTTTTTTTGTGTTCTTTGTGCTATCTCCTGCTTTTTCATTGAATCTCATCAATCATATGTTATTCTTCTTTGCATCATCTAGCAGCTGTTGGATTGACTTCTTATAGTCCCTTGCTATTTTTAAGAAATCTTTCTTTTCATGATTGCTTACTGCAATACTGTCTTCTATATATGATATTCTGTCCTTAAATGAGCTTATTCTTCTGCATATACTTTCAATAGAGTTTTAAATCTCCTGGATATCTGTTTGAATCTATTTCATGGATTTCATTTCTTTCCTATGTTGGGCATTCATGGTTTCCATCATTTTCCTAAGCTCTTCTATTTTTAAAAAATCTGTATCTGCTCTAAAGTCACTAAGCATGTCTTTCACTGTGGTCATCATTTCTGTGGTTTCCTGAGAAATTACTTCTAATTTGATTTTTTCCTAGAACCTCATTCATCTGCTTTGTTACTTCTGCTGTTAACACTTCAGAGAGTCCAGGTGGGTGGTTTTCAACTTGCTCCACCTCATTGCCCCCCAGGTGTACCTTTGGTGAGCTTGAAGTCTGGGGTTGCATCTTGTCTTCTCATTTTTAAAAAAAATTTAATCCCTATCTTGATGCTTGGAAATTCCTTATGGTGAGTAGCTTTATTACTAGTATTTAGAACCCCCAGGAAATAAGTACTTCTCAGACATGTCTTCCAGGTGTGGCTAGCTTTTGAGTTTTGAGTCTTTCTCAAGATCCTACCTCTTCAATTTATTGGCAGTTAGTTGCTGCCTACTTGGCCTAGCCCCTAGTTCTTTGGCACTGGGCTATAGAATTGTTTATGACCCTTAGGCAATCTCAGTTTTGGCACAGCAGAAAGAACAACTGATTAGAACAATTATGTCATCTTGGATAAAGTAGTACAATCAGCAATAACAACAGTATCACACACAGCCTAGAAAATGACAAGCTGTGAGAGCTATTAATTTGCCACCTTTAACCATATGAACTAGATTTATGTTTATATAACAAATTCTAAAACAAACTAGAAAACTGTATACAGTAAATAAGTCCTCAGTATGGTGATTTCACCTTCAAGGGAGAGAATTTAAAAGGGTTTAGGGGGAAAATAGAGAAATAAAAGAGGAGGGAGAAATTAGAAGCAAGCAAGAAATTAGAAATTAGGAGGAAGATTATGCAAACTTTGGGGAACTGGTGAAGATAGGACAGAAAGAGAGAAGGAAAAAATAAAAACAAGAACAGAGCAGAACATCACCAAAAAACTAGAAACTATTTTCATACTCATCAAAACAAGAACAAACAAGAAAAAAACAAAACAAAAACAAAGAGAAGAGAAAAAAAAAGGAAAGAAAAAAGTAGCCACTTCAAGGTGTGTCTCTATTCTCACTGGTACAGAAAGTGGTCAGAGTCCAGATCTGTGTTGATTAATTGCAGCAGGCCAGCAGTAGCTTTACAGCAAGGTAGTGGATAATCTCAGTAAGCCTATACCTTTAGTTCCACTGAAGTTTAGGCTGGCTTCCAGCTGTGAGAATGGAACCAGATTTGTTCAGTCTGTAACACTCTGTGCATCTCCTGCTGGCTTGAACTCAACTCCTTGGCCTCCTGCTGACTTGAACTTGGCTGTTTCACCCCTGACACTGGGAGCCAATAGATAAAGCCAGCAGTTGATCTGAGTTCTGAGCTCAGTTGGCCCTCTCCAAGACAGCTACCAGTCCTCTCCTAGGGGATGTCTGAACCTTACTAACTCAGTAGACACTGCAGTCCAATGAGTCTAATGCTCTGTTCCACTAGTGCATTTCTCTGTGGAGGCCTCTGGGCTCACCAGTAGTCACTGGATCTACAGGTTTAAGGCACTCCTCCCAAGTAGTGAGTCAGAGTTCAGGGAGAAAGTATCACTTGCCACCTCCTTCTGTATTGATATCTCACTTTTTGCTCTCCCAATGGGCTTCAATTCTCACTTCAGATCCTTCCCTCCTTCTCTTCCTCACATTGCTGTATTCCAGCAACTGGACACTAAATCTCAGAAAGGCTATTTCTCTGTTGCTCACCACTTACCATCTTGACTGGAACTTCTCACTTCCTTTATTCACTGAGAACTTTGGAAGAGGGGACCCAAGCGAGACTAAGAGTCAGGAACTGAGAGCAGGTGAACACGATGAACAATGAACATGACTACTGTGAGGATGTGTTGTCCTGTAGACTTTGTTACTGACATGTGGGCTCAAGGAGAACAAATCACCTGACTCCTGGATCTCAGTGGAAGAGGGGCTGGATGAACTCTGAGGTCTCTTGATAGTCAATTTTATGACATCAAAAAGAAAAACAGAGGGCTGGGGATTTAGCTCAGTGGTTCCGCCGCCTGCCTCACAAGCGCAATGTCCCGAGTTCAATCCCCGGTACCAAAAAAAAAAAGCTGGGGATTTAGCTCAGTGGTTTCAACACCTGCTACGCAAGCGCAAGGACCCGAGTTCGATCCCCAGTACCAAAAAAAAAAAAAAAAAAAAAGAAAAACAGTCTCTAGAAGGAGCATGTGGCCTCCAAAAATGAGAAATGTGGTACATATCTCAGTGTAGAAAACCAATGACAAAGAAAGGACAAAGAGGAATGGGGGCTAAGTGATGACCTACATTCCTATGAAATGACCCAAAGATGGGCAAAAGTCAAGAGATAGTCCAAAAGTTGAGTCTTACCTTCTGGTGACAGCAAAGCAGAGTGTGCACATCCCATGGAGGAGTTCTGCAGCATGCTGCAGAAATGTGGCCATCTTGGGGTTCTCATCCACTGGGCCTTGCACCGAAAGGAAGCAGCCACACAGTTTGTCAATTAGGCCCATGCTCACAACATAGCTGGAAGCAGGGGAGAAATGTGTCTTATTGATCTGCATGGGCTATAGCATCTCCATATCCACAATGAACCTTACTCTACTCAGGCTTGGAGTCCTCCAGCAAGCAGACACCACACAGGTTTAAGTAACGCATCTCAAATACCAATTTCCTTAGATTTAGTCCTGAATAGTAACTATGTCTACAGTTTTTTTCTCTTTCCCCCTTTTTGGTTATTCTGATATTATTTTTCAAGAAAAAGACATGAAAATGATCATTCTTCCTGGTCTAAAGAATCTGACAGTAGGTGAAACAATTTGTATAGTTACTTCTACATTCTTATAATGTAATACTTCTTGCAGTATTAAGGAGCCAAATTTGCCAGAAAGCAGGGATTTAGATGTGTTGTGCTATCCAGATGCTTTTATTACAACTCAGACCTTTAATGCCAACTGTGGGTTCCATTTTGAAAAACTCCATCCCCACCAAGAGTGAGCATTACAAACAATGAGAATCTAATTGCCTTATGTTATGAAAAATACCAGTCTTGAGGGTTGACAATACCATTTAAGAAGTCACTTTCATCTTTTTGATTCAATAAACAGTTTTCTAGAGCTTTTTATTAAACCTAACTGAAAATAGTAGCTCTTTTATTGGTCCACAAAGCAGCAATCATTGAAAGATATTTTCAGACTACAAATGACCTTGCAGAAATATTAAACTCGGCTGAGAGATTTTGTACAGATTCAGTGCCTGCATTTACATGTATGAAAAGGGGAGGACTGAAATAAGAGCAGTTCTGAAAACCAGCATGTTACATGTACATTTCAGCAATATGTATAAAGGAGTCAATATTTCTGTAATCCCCATCACTATTTTTTTAGCAACACATCTTTGTGCAAAAGGAAAGAGGACACAATGAATAATTCACGCTTGGCATCTCCTCCAAATTCACTTTTTAGAAGCTACAAAATAATGTATCTGGTTGGGCTACTAAGCATATTCTACAGTATAAAATGATAATCACCAGCCTTATTCTAAGGAAATGGATATGTTTCATTGGTACACATCGAGGATATTAATAGAATCTGACTTAATAATCATATCTTCAAAAATTAGCTTTTACACTGCATAGAACTTTTCAATTTAGAAAGTGTTTTACACGAATTATTCCAAGGAGCTACCCCAAGAACACAATAAGGGAGCAGACAGTGAAAACTTTGGTTTTTGTCTGCCTAGCATATTCTCCTTTCCTGTTCAGTTGCTTCTTGGGGATTGTTAAACATAGTGTCTTGAAACCAGGAGTGAGCATATGGTCCAGGACAGCCAGATGACTTATCTCCTTGACCAAAATAAGTGGTCAGGATGGGGACATGACCTGACAAGGATCACTTTGTTATCGACTGTATGATTAATGCCTGACCACAGCAGGAACTTCTTTCCATTGGGATATCTAAATGGAAATACACAAGTCTAGGAGTTGTTGTTGGTCAACTTATTTGTTACATGGAGAACATCTGCTGAAAAAAATGAATGCACACAGAATTGAGAGTGAAACAAAGTTCCTAATGGCATACTTTTAGCCCTGGTGTTTAGCGCCAACCTTTTGCTCTCTGCATAGTCACTGTATAGGTGTCAAATCAGGAAACTTAACATGGAAAAAGTACTGATTAATCTATAGTCAATATTCTCATTTCACTGATTGTTACAGTTACATTCTTCACAGATTTCTTTTTTCCTTGTCTATAATCCTATCCAGGACCAAATGTTGACTTTACTTGCTAGATCTCTTTAGTCTTTAAACAGTTTTTCATTCTTTTTCTGTCTTTCATGATACTGACTTTTTTTAAGAGTACCAAGCCACTTGTTTTGCAGAATATTCCTGTAAGTCTGATTTTTCTTCATGATCAGGTCAAAGTAATGCATGCTTTTTTTTTTTTTTAATAAACAGGTAAGAGGAATCTATTCTTTTTTTTTTTTTTTGGTACTAGGGATTGAACTTGGGATCTTCCACTTGTGAGGCAGGCGGCAGAACCACTGAGCTAAATCCCCAGCCCGAGGAATCTATTCTTAAATGTAGCTTCTGTAACTCTTGACCAAGAGTAAACTTAACAAAACTTGATTTTATAATTTTGAAAATTAAACATTTATTCCTTGACATATAAAATTGTATGTTTATGAAATATTGTTTTGATAGATTTATACATTGTACAATCTTTAAATCAAGGTAAGCATATTTATCTTCTCAAACACCACTTTCCTATGGTCAAAATATTCACAATCTTCTTTTCTAGCTTTTTTGAAACATGCAACACATTATCATTACCTATAATCACCCTATTATATAATAGAGTGCCAGAACTTATTTCTCTTATTTAACTAGAACTTGGTTCCTACTGATTGACCTTTCTCTCCACCCTCAGGTAACCATTATTCTTTTTCTTTTTCTTTTGGTACTGGGGATCAAACTCAGGTCCTTGCACTTGCGAGGTAGGCGGTGGAACCACTGAGCTAAATCCCCAGCCTGGTAACCACTATTCTACTCTCAACTTCTGTGAAACCAAATTTTAAAAATTTCCTCAATCCTATCCTAATTGTGTCATTTTATTGCCAGACTATTTTGGTGGGGCCTAGGTTTCAAAGTTTAATGGACAGATAAAGAGTAAGCATATCTGGGCCGGGGATTTAGCTCAGTGGTTTCAATGCCTGCTGCACAAGCACAAGGACCCAAGTTTGATCCCCGGTACCAAAAAAAAAAAAAAAAAAAAGAGTAAGCATATCTGCCCTTGTTCCCCACCTTAAGGAGAAAGCATTGTATCTTCTCCATTCATATAAGGCGTTCTCGCTGGAAGTATGGAGTACATGTCTTTAATCTGTTGAGATGGTTCTGTTCTACTTCTAGTCTCCTGATAGCTTTTACCATGAACAGCTGTAGAATTTAGTCCAATACTTTTTCTCCAACTAGTGACAGGATCATATGGCTTTTTCCTTTCCTCTGTTAAAATGATGACTTTTGGGGGTGGATCTTCCAATGTGGAACCAACACTGCCATCCCTATAACAAAACCACTTTCTACATACTGCCAGATCTGACTTCTAACAGTTTGTTTTGGTAAACAAATTTCTATCTATGTTCATACTTTTTTCTTCTGTTATCTTTATCCAGTTTTAGGATTAGCACAATGTTGAGTTCCTAAAATGAGGAGAGAAGTGTTCCTTTTTTCTGCTTTAATTGTTTGATATAATTTATCAGTTAAAATATACATGAGCCTGCTGTTGTCATATAGGTAGGTTTTCAAGCTAGGAATATACTTTCTTTAATAGGTGTTATTCAAATTTTATATTTCCTCCAGAGTTAGTTTCATTAATTTGTTTTCCAAGGTACTTCTTAGAAGTTGTCAAATTTATTTCAAAAAAGATTTTTGTAATATGCTTTCTATATCCTTTTAAATTCTGTAAAATCTGTGGTAATGTCTCCTAGATCTTGATACTGTAATTTAAAAAATGTATAACTGATATTGTGTAACAGGAAGAAAAGGTCTAAAGGAGCAGGGGAAGTGGGAGGGGCAGGGGAAAGGAAAAAAGGGAAAAGAAAAAATATGAGAAAAGGAAAAAAATGGAAACAAAGTCTTTGCAAATAGGGAAGGGTGGAGGGGGTGAAGGGAGGGCAAGGGAAGGGGAACAAAAATAAGAACCAAGATACTCAAGTACTCACGTAAATGGTACAAGATCCCAATGATGAATGTAACTGTATTTTATACCTAAAATGTACCAATAAAGTTAATGGGAAAAAAAAATTCCCAAATAAGTGAGATAATGTGGTATTTGTTTTTCTATGTTCCACTCATTTCACTTAACATAATGATCTCTAGTTATGTCCATGTTATTGTAAATGATAGGATTTCATCATTTTTTAATGGCTAAATAGTGTTTCACTGTGTACATGTACCACATTTTCTTTATCCATTTATCAGTCGGTGGACATTTAGGTTGGTTCCATTTCTTGGTTATGATGAATAGTGTTCCAATAAACATGGAAATATAGATGAATCTTCAACATACTGATTTTATTTTCTTTGTATATGTAACAAGTAGTGGGATTGGTGGATTACACGTTAGTTCCATTTTTAATTTTTTAAGGAATCTCTGTACCACTTTCTATAATGGCTGTATAAATTTATATTCCCAACAACATTGTGTGAGTGCTGTCTTATCTCCCCATCTTTGCTAGTACTTACTTTTGATCTCTTTGATGATAGCATTCTAACTGGGGTAAGGTGATATCCTATTGTGGTTTTAATTTGTATTTCTCTCAAGATTAGTGATTTTGAGCATTTTTTTTTCATGTAACTGTTGGTCACTTCTTTTAAGAAATTTCCATTCAGGTCTACACCTACTTTAAAAATGGATTATTTGCTTGTTTGCTACCAAGTTCCTCATACATTGTAGATATCAATCCCTTGTCAGAGTTTACAAATATTTTCTCCTATTCTCTAGGAGAACGTACGGCAAGGATGCTGCAGCAGGCTGTTTCTATTACTGAAAACTCTAAAAGCTTTGCTCTAGGTTGGCTCTATGTTATCCCTTCACTGTTGATCTTTACTTTTGCTGAGAAATGTACTGTCTATTTTTGGTTTTGTTTCCTTTTATGCTTTGGATCTAAAATATCTCAAGTCTCATGTGCTTGGAAGGTGACTGGATCATGGAGCACTAGACTGATCAGTGGATTAGTATTATTCCTTTGGCTACACAGGATTTGTCCACTGATGAGTTCATAGCTGATTTGCTGTTAGGAGGTGGGGCCTGGTTAGATACGAGGCAGGTCACTGAGGGTATGATCAGGAAGGGGTATTCTAGACCTTGGCTCCTTTCTTCTCTCCCTGCTTCCTGGCTGCCATGGACTGAACAGCTTTCCTCCTTTTTCCCTGTCTACCATGTCACTTCTGCTGTGGAGCCAGCTGACCCTGTACCTGAAACCTAAATAAACCTCTCTTCCTTTAAATTGTGGGTGCTGGGTATTGCATTTCAGCAATGATAAAGTGACTAAAACATTGCCTGTGGTTTTGGGGTCTTATCCAGAAAACCTTTGCCTATTTCAATGTCTAAAGCATTACCCTTAAGCATTCCTCCAGTAGTTTAAGTTCTTATATGTAAGTATTCTGATTTGATTTTTGTATATGGTGAGATAACAGAGGTCTAGTTTCACTGTCCAGTGTATGTTCTCAGCCCCTTTGTCAAAGATCAGTTGGCTTTAGAAGCATAGATGTAATTCTGGGTTTTCCATTCTGTTCCATTGGTCTAAATGTCCGTTTCATGCCAATACCATGTTGTTCTGATTACTACAGCATTGTAGTATATTTCGAGGTTAGGTAGTGTAATATACCTTTTGCTTTGTTCTTTTTTGCTCAAGATCACTTTGGCTATTTTTTTCTGTGGCTCCATATAAATTTTAGGATTACGTTTTCTAGTTTTGTGGAAGAACGTCACTGGTATTTTGACAGGGACAACTAGGTTCAAATCTTGACCTTTCCCTGTATATGTGCCAATTTATTATCCTTTTTTGTTTACATTATTTCAAGTTAGGTTTTAAAAATTGTTTTAGTCATAGAAAGTGGAACAACTCTTACTATGAAAATACAGTAATAGGTTTGCTGGGCATGTGGCACACACCTATAATCTCAGCACTTGGAAGGCTGAGGCAGGAGGATTATTGAGAGCACCAGGCCAGTCTAGGCTACATAGTGACTTCAAGGCCAGCCTGAACTACATAGTGAGACCTTCTCTTGAAAAACAAAAACAAAATAAAACAAAAATATAATAAGCTCATTACAGAAATTTATGTATCTTTGTAAATATCATATTTTATTTCTTTAAAACTGAAAAGCTTTAAAATAAATCAAAAATAGAGAAGATAAGAAATTTCCATGCATTCATTGCCCAGATGTGGCCACTATTACCCTACAGCAATCTCACCTACCCCCACCCATCTTGCTGATTATTTCAGCAAATTCAAGGCATAACATTACTACATTTGCAAGTGTCGTGGTATGGTTCTCTAAAACAAACCTTCAAAAACATGACTATGATATCATTATTACATCTGAAAAATCACAATAATTTCTTAATATCAATAACTAGTGTTCAAATTTCCAAATGATCATAAAGTCAGCATTTTTAATAGTTTTTAAAAAATTAGTACCAGGGCTGGGGATTTAGCTCAGTGGTTCTGCCACCTGTCTTGCAAGTGCAAGGTCTTGAGTTCGATCCCCAGTACAAAAAAAAAAATTAGCACTAAAATAGGAATCATATATTGTGACTAGTTAATATGTCTTAAGTCTCTTTAAACTGCTTGTTACCTCTCCATTCTCTCTCTGACCTCTTTTATAAATTTATTTGTTGAAGAAACTTCACTGTGTATTCTATATACAAAATCCACAAATTGAATTTTGCTGATTATATTCCTGTGGTATCATATAACATGGTTTTTTGTATGATGCATTTCCTGTAAAATGATCTAGATTCTAGAGGCTAAAAACATTTGTAATGGTTGAATAATATCCTACTAGTAGAATATTTTTGGAACTTCTAGTTGTTTTCAATATTCACTACTATAAACCATGTTGTGATAAACATTTATTTGTGTACAAATCCTTACCAGATTTCAGATTACTTTCCAGAAGTGGAATTATGGAGTTAAAGGGTACACACATTATTGAGATCTTGATACAGACAGCCACATTACATTACATAAACTCTGAATAACTTACAGTCCAATCAGCAGGGTCTGAGTAAACCATGTTCATCATGTGGGAATTATACTACTACCCTCATGTGATAGAGAAGGAAACTGAGGCTCAAGGAGGGCAAAGCACCAGCTTAGGCAAGAGAAGTAGAACACTGAAGGTCTACTGACTCCTACTGCCATAGGACTGTCCTTGCCACTAAATATGCTCTTTCTTTGTGGCATCAGTGTGTATGTGGGTGCTCTCTGAGGTTCCAATTTTCAATAAGAATGTAAATTATTTGAGACTATTCCTGAGACTAACAGTGACCACAATAGCTTCAAAATCACCAAGTCTCAAGATAAAAATGGTTTAAATGGTATCTATAATTTTGTTTTTGTGTATGTTAGTATATTTTGTAATAAAGTAATAGTACATTAAAACAATGAAAAAGATATATTTCTGCCTTTTCTATGCCAAATGAGGAAATGGATGGGATGTATGTCAGGATCTGGTCCAGCTTTACCTTGGAAGTATGGACCAGAGAATATAGCCACAGACACTGGGGTGGAACCCTTTCTTCTCAACTTCACAATTGACAAAAGTACCCACACAGTAGCAGAGAGTACAGTGAGATTTCTGGTCAGTTCATATTTGGGAAGGTGAGAAAACAAGTATGGAACTGATTACACATGCTCTGTGTGCAATGCCAGGGGAAACTTGAGATGGGCTTGTGGTTCTACACATAGGAATCATCAATCCAACTGACAACATATTATCTGTAAGAAAATAACATTTAGTAAATGTGATTCAAATCAGAGGAGGACTGGCAAAGAACTGTTCTGAAGCACTGTGGTTGTCAATCATCTTTTGTTGAATCACATGAGTTAACTGATTTGGCAGGTATCACTGTTGTTTTTTTCCCATAATACCCTCTTCCTTTAAGAAGGAATGTGTATGTGTGTGTATGCATGTGTGTGTGTGTGTGTGTGTGTGTGTGTGTGTGTTGCTGGGACTCAAACCCAGGGCTTTACACATGTTAGGCAAGTGTCCTAGCATGAGCCACATTCCCAGTCCCTGGATTTGTAACTGTGTGTGTAACTATAATAACCTATGTGAAAATGTATGCATTTTTTCTAGGAAGGCCCACTGGAACTGTACTGGAGCCTTAGGCCAGGTCCTTCACCTCATCACAGCAGGGCATGTGGCTAAGGTGTCTGGATGACAAGAACGTAGAGCTGCTACATCACAGGGTATCCCACAAGACAACACTGGGACAGAATGGCATTCATCAGCAGAGAGGGCTAAGCTCTACAGTGACCACAGGATACAGGAAAATTGAATGGGATCAAGCAACTGAGAGAAAGGGCAGGGAGGGTAAAAGTCAAGTGCTATAAGATAAATGGTTGTAGACCCAAAGGGCCTGATGCTCTCCAGCAATAAATATGCTTGGAGAAAGAGGGCAAGCAGATGGAAGGGATAAGTGAACAAAGCAATCAAAGGTAAGGAAGATACTGAATAAAACAACTGTTCCCAAACAAGCACTACAAGAAGCCAGGGGAAATTTATGAACTGTGAAAGAAACGAATGCAGAGGAGGGCATTCTCTTTCTCCTATTAACCTACCATAAGCTTCAGAGAGCAACAAATTGCATGGATTTGGAGAGCCAGAGATCAGTGCAGACCACAGAAAAGTTGCTGACTGGTAGAACAGGTAAATGTTTAACACCAGACGGAATCCTACTGGGAAATTAAATGTCCTACCTGATTCAAGGATCTGGAGGGAAAAGAAGTTCAGATGCCAAAGTAGGAGTAAATTTCCCTGGAGAAAAGGAGATCTTGGAAGTAAGGAGGGCTGACCTTGAACAGGTTTCAGAAATTGCCACATCTGTGTGGTAGACAGCATACAGATGTTGGGAGTCTAGCTAGATGTGAGTTCCAGTTTCAGCTTTCCTAACCTACTTTTAAACTTATTTATTATATAATCCTGGGTGAAACACTTAACCTCTCTGGGCAATTTCCTCATTTATAAAGCCTGAATTAGAAATCCTATACTTACAGGGCTGCAATGACTCTATTACAATACCTCATATATAATGTATGCCTCATACATGGTGGCTATTATTGTTGATATAAGTCTGAACCAATTTATAACCACAGAAGAACTGAGGGGAATTCTCAGACATTCCTTGAGTTAGAGAGAGTTGATATCAAGAAAGCTATAAAAGCTCCAACATGACATATCTTAACATCACATATATAAATATCAAGAAAGGCATCTGAGCTTGAGGTTGCTTGTCAGTAACATTTTCCTTCTCTCTACAAAATGTGGTGTATCCTCTGCCAGGAATTTGTGGACAGCATCGCGAGAACCACTGCCCTCATGCAGGCATTAAGGTTTAAATTATTTTAATATCACTTTTAAAACAAAGAATAAAGTTTTACGAAGTCTAGCAATTTTACCTGATAAGGTCCTGAACTCGACTGTTAAAAGCATCACCTTGCGAGGGTTTGTTTTTCATTTCCTGTGTTGATATTTTTGGTGTGGCTGGCCGGCTGTTTCCATCTGGTCGATTAGCAATCAGGCAGCCAAAAACCGCAGCAATGACTTTGAGAAGTCCAGTTGTCAGGCCTTCATAAACTTGTTTATTTGTATTTCTTCCCAAAATAGCATTATTTTCATCTGGAACATAAACCTAGAAGAAGAAAACCTACAGTAAATGTGTTTCAACAAACCACCAAAAATGAACAGAGATGATTTAGAACATTTCTGGAATCATAAATAATTTTGAAATTTTAGTGGGGATGATGCAGTGGTTAAGGATGTTGGCTCTGAGGTCAGACTGTCAGTTCAAATCCCAGCTTGGCCTTCACAAACTGGTGACCTTGGGCAGATTACTATTCCTAAACTCCAATTTCATTATTTATAAAACACGGATAATGAAGGTATGTATAATATAGGTTCTTATCAGGATTAAATGAACTACTGAACATAAAATACTTATTAGCACATGCAGAGGCACACAGTAACTACTAATCTATATTAAAATTTTATATTAACAAAAAATACAGCAATTAATAAACTGATATTGTTCCTTATTAGAATCAATTTAATAACCCTAAATTCCTCTATTATGATATATTTGCATTTCTTATTACAACATGGCAAAATAGTTGTTTTCCTAGTACAGTACAGAGAATCCAATTTGGCTGTCTCTGTGTATAGCTTACAGGAAGTAATCCGGTTAACAGTTGGACTTGGAGTTAGAAACTGGACTTGAGTTCATACTCTACAGCTATGTGATCTGAGGGGGTTGAGAAGTCCTGTTGTCCAGCCTTCAGAAACTTGTTTATTAGTATTTCTTCCAAAAATAGTGAGGGTTGAGCTACTTAGGACAGTACATACAACAGATGAGACTGAGGACACAAAGGGCATCTAAACTGCCTCTTATTTAGGCATTCCACAAATCCCCTCTTTTCACCTCCACTTACCCTGTCATTTTCTGAGATGGCTGGTAATCCTAATTCTCAAGCCTTTTGGGGTTCTGTGGCATAAATTTTCTTCCTGATAGTTTCATTTATAGCTTTTAGGTACATTGCAATCATCTGCTTTCCAGATTAAAACATTGTTTTCCTTTCCTTCTTGTACTCTTTAAGGGCTTATGACTTTATCTATTTACTATAAAATGACTGGGGCATCCTGATGGAAAGAATATAATTTATGTATTCATCAGTCATATTTTAAAATTAACTCCAGTAACTTCTCTAGAAATACAACTTTCTTGTTCTTTCACATGCTACAAAAGAATGAGTAATACATTTCTGGGTAATTTCAGGGCCCTTCATTCATCATAAATGTTCATATTTCTTTTTTCAACAATCTTGTGCTGCTTTTCATCATGAAATATTTCCAATAAAACACTATGCACTTATTACTTATATTTAGCAATCTTTTGTTTATCTAGTGTTTTATCCAGTTATTGCATCTTTTAAGAGAACGGTTGAAAATAAAAAATAAAAGACCTCCGAGATACCAAAATGAATGTTATTTATTTAATCACTTGCTCATCTAACATCTGAATAACTACCAGACACTGGCTGAGGGAACAGAGTGATGCTTTGCTCACCCTTGGGTTTTCCTCCGCATTCTTTCCCTATCCCCTTCCCTTGCTTGATCTTTCTTCTAGTACTGGGGATTGAACCCAGAACCTTTGCACTGAGCTACACCCTCAGCCCTTTTTTATTTTGAGACAGGACATCTCTAAGTTGCCCAGGGTGAGGTCAAATTTGACATCCTCCTGCCTCAGTTTCCCAGAATGCTGAGATTACAGGTGGGCACCACCATGCTTCAGCCTTGGGTTTTATAAAATTGTAACAAGCTTTGGTTTTTCAATTTATAGAAGAGAAGGAATCATTAAAAAAAGTAGTGACCATTTTAGATGTAGGCACAAGAAAAGACATAACAATACAAAACACATACAATGTAGGAAGAGTTAGGCTCACTCACCTTTATTTCCTATTAAATTATTACTTATTACAAATCAGTAAAACTGCCAATGCTCAAAATAACAAGAACTCCTAAGATGCCAAGAAAAGGTTAAATTATGAGCCATACTCATGGAGTGTAAGGGAAGGATAAAAACTAATATTTATTAGAGTTTTCCGCCATGCCAGGTACACAGGCATTTTCCTTTTATCATCCATCCCATGTAGTCTTTAACACATTAAGAACTCACATTTTCTTTTTTTGGAGGGGGTACTAGGAATCGAACTCAGGACCTTGTGCTTGCGAGGCAGGCATGGTGCCACTGAGCTAAATCCCCGCCCCTAGAAATCACATTTTCCTTTCTCAAGTTTCACAACTAGTTAACAGAAGGGCTGGGTCTTGAACCTGGTCTGTGAGGCTTTAATGCCCATGTGCCTTCCTTACCCTCACCCATGATCCTCCATCTGGCCCCTCTTTTACTGAGCATTCTGGAAGAATTTTGTCCCTGATAGAGGGAGACAAAAACTGGTCATGGCCAACACTGCCTCACTGATATCTCTTCTGTTAAAAATCATGGATTCCATCAGAGGTGTGCTCTTGGGCAAGAGGGTAAGAAAGTATGCAAGGGTTGCTGGGAAAACACTGGATGAAATATATACTCATCTTATTGTTCAGAAACATACAAGGGGTTTGGGGACCAAATATCACTTCTTCATCTGCCACAAGATAATCAGCTCAATGTAAAGCAAACCAGATATATTTTTACACTGTTCATTGGGATAATGAGGGTTGGGGAGAGACTACTTCTTGGGATGATACATGTTGCAGATGAGATTGTTCACTGGGATTTTGTGCATTTTATAAACACCATTTTGTCAGTGGCTCATAAAGTAAACAGAAATTGAAAGACTTCTATAACAATCTGCTGGCTACAACAAGAAGCCCAGCTAGAAGCAAGTAGGCCTCCCTTGCTAGGCTTGAGGGGACAAACAGGGGACCTCAGGTAGAGTGCAAGGGTCATTCCTGAAATGAATGGTTTTTGCTTTCTCATTGTGATTTCCTATTTTCCAACTGCCTCTTTGAGCCTCACATCCAATTCAATCACTCCAATTTCTTCTTCCAGTAGTGTTTTATCTTATTTCCTCACTTAGCATTGGTCCTTCAACTGCTGAGCCCAGAGGGTTCTGCCTCTAACCTTTGGTGGAGTCTTTCTTTGTGTCTCTCACTAAGATTTCACTTTATTCAAAAAGTTACAGAAATTCTCCCTGTGTACATTTTTCTTTGCTAGTTTAAAATTATTTTATAGTAATGGTTTAATAGAAAACTAATGTTTCCTCTAGGAAAGAATTTCAAAATTGCCAGAATTAAGGTAAGGAGGGGCTTTATCTTCAGTGACATGAAAAGTTTCTTTTTAGTCTCTAAAAATGAGATTTAATAAAAAGCAATTCCATTGTAAAGGACAGTCCATTCAAGGCAGTCCTGCTGACTTCTGCCTAGGGGGGTACTACGATTCCTTGCGGTGATAAAGTAACTCATGAGCAGCTTGCTCTTTGGGGACCCCTCTAATAGGTGGAGTGCATACTTACCAGAGTTCTGCTATCTGCTTATAAAGTTTGAACTTCCAGCATGGCTGCTGGGCCATGGGCACCATGCCAGCTGAGGAACCTGTCCGTTAGGGAAGGTGTACAAGCCATGTCCTGTCCTCCCCCATTGCACACCTGGCTTATCCAAGTGTGGATGCATTCTGTCCTGGGTTGGGTAGTCTGGTCTGGGGAGGGGACGGTCACTTGCCTGTGCTGCAGTGCTGGTAACTTCCACCTGCATAGACATATGTAGCTTTTGGCCCCTTTGAATCTGTTACCCCAAGACAGAAATCTAAAACCATATGTTCTTTTCAAATGGTTTAAAGGTTTTTTTCCTTTAATATATATGGTATTTTCTCTTTTTTCTGGTGCTGAGGATTAAACAGAGGGCCTTGTGCATGCTAAGTATGCGCTCTACCACTGAGCTATATTCTCAACTCCTCCTTTAGGTATATTCCTTTAGAATACATGGGTGTGGTCATTATCTTACTCCTATAGTAGCAACAAATTAAAAGGTGAGTTCATGTGCATATTCTAATTGCAAAGTTTCATCTTCCTCTCAACAAGTATTTGACTTCTTAAAATCTATAACTATTTCACATAGTTTTAGATATAGAAAGATCCTTGGAATCAAAGCTTTTCATTTTATTTTTGGGGAATTCAAGATCCAAAGGATAGAGATTTTCCAGAAGACACAAAACCATTGGGGCCAGAAGAAGTACTGGTGCAAATTCTCTAATCTTCCTCCAAGAAGAAACTCTGGATTTACAGGACCCAGCTCTGAGGCCAAGTGTTTTTAGCAAAATTAAATATCTTAGTTACTTCTTTTTTTTCTCTTAGTTACTTTTAAGAGCCAAGCTCATACTCTTTGTATCCCTACAACCTCCCATCACAAAAGTGGCTTGAAATATTTTCTACATTCCTGTTTGCAATACAGAAAGATGCTTTTACTAGTAGCATAAACCAACCCATAAACCAACCTATAACATGATTCTATGAGACAAAATTAAGTTGATAATTTAGTACAATTTATTTTTAGTATTTTGAGGCAGTGTGTTCACAATGATCATAAGAACAAATTCACTAAGAGCCAATAAGAAATTGCTTAGGAAATTTCTGTCAAGATGGTGTCAGAGTATACAGGAAAAGAAGGCAAAAAGTGGGGAAGGGCTCCAGGGGCAGACACAGGCCCCTGCGCTGTTGACTGTCATTTTATTTCCTAGAGTCACTGGACACATAATAGCATTTTCACCATTAATATTTTATAAAACATCCATCTCCAATGTTACATTATGCATAAATATAAAACTGATGGAAGATACTTATCTTCACTATGTAGCTGACTTGAAAATACAAAAAGGAAATTATATAAGAATGACCAATTGTTTTTCAATATCTTTTTAAAAATTTCCCCTTCTTTTTATTCCATAAATAGTATTATGACATTAAAGAAATTATAATTTATCCTAATATTAACTATTCTAATATATTTTATGCTTTTGAGTCTCTATTAATTTTTTTCAGCTCAAATCCTAACAAAATAAAATAGCACACTTTCCAGTAGACATATATATAGCATAGTGGTCATGTTGCTGTAAATGTTGAATCATCTCACTCCTCTGTTCAC